TGAATTTACCAATAAAACATTTAGATTATAAAAATTTAGTCAATTAGTTAAATTGAAAAATTTTATTTATACGTACGATAATTTGTCGGTAAACCCGATAATTTTACGGCACTGTGCCGATCAGACGGGCTTAAGTCTCTGGGAACACTGGATACTCTTCCTATTTCATCACTGGACTCCTACGAGGACATATCTTTAGCACCTAAGGACCATAGAAGGCCACAAGGAACAACAAAGGACCATAAGGATTCACCTAGAACAACAAAGGGACATCCTAACGTAAATGAATTCTAAACCCCAACCCTTACGGTTGTGATCGCTATAAGCGAAGCGTGCGAAAGGTGAAAGAGAACGTAAGCGAAGCGGACAAGAGATAAGATTTTTCCATTGTATTTATTTCATGTTAACGATAATTTTCCCGCGTGGCAACGCCACGTGCTTGATTCGCATTCTTATATTTGACATATTAACCAGGGTTTTTATGCCGTACAGCTTTTCCCTGACGAGCCAAAAGAACGTTGCATCTTTGATTGGCCCAACCACGTGTTTTATTTTACACCTTAATTCAACCCCTTATTTTTCACATCACAGCATATACGTGTAAGATTTATTGAATTTAAATAGAAATATTTATTATAATAGAACAAATACTTAAATATTTAGGTTTAATATATTAATAAAGAGATAGAAATCGAAAAGAAAAGTAAGTAACAATAGTTAGGAATCTTAAGTACACTCGTATTACACACGTTCACTCACAAATAGTCGCACCGAATCAAGAAGGCGAAGATCGCCTTCTTCGCCGCGCTTATATACTCATTCACCGCACCAATGGTCCCAATCACTTCCGTCAATCATTCTCGAAATCTCTAGACTATTCCCGACCGATTAAATAAAAGACCTCTTCCCGATTTCCGGTTCGGGAATATTTAAGAGACTTCGGGGTGCACGCTCGCTTTTCTTTCTTGCTAGACACACTCATATTCATACCGCTGCATGCACTCACACTTATACCCATATCGCTGCGTGCACTCACACTTATACCCATATCGCTGCGTGCACTCATACTTATACCCATATTGCTGCATACTCTTAACATCTTTCACATTCATCAATTGTTTTCACGCCACCATACACTCGCACTTTTCGTCTTTCTCTCACCCTTACATACGTAATTACCAGAGGACTCCTAATCAAGGAATTTAGGCCATACATTTTGGTGCCTCCTGTATTGTACGAATTCCCGACTCCTGATTTACGAACGCAAATTCTATTTTACGAATGCAAATTGATTATCGCCGCGCTGAGTCAACGAACATCTACACCGTCCAACCTAGCCAGTACCACAAAAGATTTGAAAGCGGGATAAGTAGATTCAATTATCTATGAGTACGCCTATGCGTACACACCTTTGATTATTGACACATATCTCAAGTGAAATTGCGTCTTGGAGCAACGTAGAAGTTCGCAATTTTTTGTATATCAATTCATTGTTCTTATCTTCTCTATAAATTTCGCATCTCAACATTTGAACTGACTAATAGAACTAAATTTCTGAATTTTAACGAGTACATAATATATAATCGAACGTGTTATTCTCCATCTTTAAAATCGCTTTATTCAAAAAAACGGTCATATTTTCGGCAGCTTCGCCGCATTCCTTTGTACCCCCTCTATCGGTCTGCAGCTAGCAAGCAGCGTCCATCCTTTCCAACGATCTACAGCCTACGGGCCGTGCCGCGTGATCGAGAACCCAACGCATGGCAATTCATTTATACACAAAAGGGATTTTGTATTTGCCATAAATTCATTGAGTAACTTTCGAAGAGTAGAGAATAGTTAATACAGGTCCATAATGGCATCGCAAAAATAACTTGAACAAAAGCGGCAGATTTTAGAATTACGGTTAACACACTTCGTGAATTTAATTGAAGAAAGAAGGTTAAGCATAAATAAATTAAGAAGACGTTACGAACGTCTTCCCGAACAAAGTTGCCGTCGATGGAAAAAATGCCGTAAATCGGCCGATGTATAACTGCCAGCGTTCGGCCAAGCATTGGTTGATTACTGGCGTTTAAAATCAATAAAATATTTTTTTAGAAAAGTGTTTTTTTAATTTATATTTTTTTAAATTATTATTTTGTATTTTTCGAATGTAAAAAGAATTTTATTAATATTAATACAGTTATTTTGCTTATGAACAACTAATTATTGAGTGATTTTAAAAAATTGTAATTGAAGTTGTTAACGCCGTCTTCTGATATAAAACCGGTGGTTACATAACATCTGTATTAAATATTTTTGAAGTGAAAACTTCTTTAGAATGGGCGATACTAAATAAGAGGAAACAAAGAGACAATGAGGATTGAGAGAATGAGACACAATATAACTACACAGTTTTTCCTATTCTCGGCCTTTGATTCGTGGTCCCCACTCCTGACTACTAAGCTTTGTGTGTGTGTCGCGTCCGTGTCAAAACAAAAGCAAGCTCTGCGCGTGGCGCAAGCGCAGTACATTTTAAATCAGCTGTTATTCAGTTGTTTGTTAACTTTTATTGTAGGTTGCAGACCATATTACTTTCAAAATGAATTAAATATAATATTTAAAGGGACACGTCACCCAAAAAATCGATTTTTTTCTTTTCGATTTTCTGAAAGAATATTATTTCAAAAATATTCTCTTAAATTTTCGTAAAGATCCGCGCATTATTTACGAAACTGTAGCAGTTTAAACGAAGCGCGCCGTAGCGCGGCTAGAACAGGTGTATACAGCTGTATGTACAGGTGTATACAAGCGCAGTTAAAAAATTACGAAGGAGGCGAGAAAAGCTCGACGGCAATATAAAGTCACTTCTGCAGAGGCTGCTGATGCAGCAGAGGGTACCTCTTATGGCCCTGGAATCAATGATTCAATGAAAATATGAATAAAAAAGTTACCAAAACTTTAAATGTTAATTTCTCCTATTCGCGCTTTTAAAACGGTTGCCCTCGCTGCGTCGAGACCATATATCCGTTCTTTACCAAATTTCGTACAGTAATACTAGATACACGTATCCAGGGAATGAACAAAAGGATATTTTGAGAAAATTCCAATTTTTTTCTCTCGAAAACTTGGCGATTTTTCTGCAAAAATCAGTACACATGAAAGTTTGATCATGAATATCTTCTGAACGCTTAATTTAATCGCCAAACATAAGATACCATTTTTATAGAGCAGTTAATTTCCTACAAAAAATTGTATTGCACATTTTATAATAGTCATTTATTGTCGAGTTATAAAATTCATAAACAAATATAAAATTTGTCTTAAAATAATCAAACTTAAATCTTTAATATCATTCAAATAGTGAGGTTTACGGAAAAAATATGAGATACCTTTTTTGTAGAGCATTAAATTTCCTACAAATTCTTTCAGAACATTTTTCTGTACAATCAATTAATGATGAGGTATGAATTTTAATCTAATGGACTAAAAAAAAAAAAAAAATAAAAAACTGCGATGCGGAGGATCTTCCTATTAAAATTAAGAGCTCATATTTGGTGAAAATTGTTTTAAGGTGTCTAGCAACCCATGTTTCCGTGGCACTTGAACAAAAAAAGTCATTTTTTTTTTATGAATCCTAATATATATATACAAACACACAAATAATAAAAGTCTATAAAAATGGTGATTTTTCAAGTTTCGCGGTGATTTCCAGCTAATAGGTAATTATTATAAATGTCACATGGTACTTAAAGCTTTGTTTTACATAGCAACTGTATCTAAGAAATATTTGTGGGGTGTGTTGAAAATCGAAGAGGTTGTGTGTGTAAGTCTGTGTGAGTCCAAAGGTCCGAGGGGTTGTGTGTGTAAGTCTGTGTGAGTCCAAAGGTCCGAGAGGTTGTGTGTGTAGGTCGGTGTGGGTCCAAAGGTTCAACATATTGTGTGTGTTAGTCGGTGTGGGTCCAAAGGTCCGAGTGCGTTTGGAACATGCGGGGTGGGGAAGAAACCTTATAAGGAGGGGACGGTCACGCATCGGGGGGGTTGTTTTTTCGAGAGAGTAGTGTGGAGAGAACCGAGTGACGAGAGCGAGTGAGAATAGCGAGTAGAGAGTAGCGAGTGAGTAATGATTCTGTGAGTAGTGAGTAAGTGCGAGAAGTTGCGAAGCGTTATTGTAATTGTAATTGTAATAAGCAATAATTTGTGAGAATAAAGAGTATCTTTTATATCTCAAGTAGTGTTAGCAACACGGGGGAATTAGATATCCTTAGCCGGATACAGAACAATTGATTTCCCTACATATTAGATGTACCTCCCGCGTTATTTTACTTTTCATCATGGCTTCTACATGTGGAGGTAAGTAATTAATTGAATTAATTATTCTGTAGTATTATTTTTAACTTTAACATAACAATTATTCGTATTATTAATTTCTTACTATTATTAGTATTAGTATCATATTAAGCGATAGAATATTAACTCATAGGTAAACAATACATCATTCGAATGTTGCTAACCTTAGTTTAACCCAACTTTTTTACATTTCTAAACATTTTTTTCGCTTTATTATAATAAGTTCAATAATTATTATATAGTTCAATAATTACTAAACATTCCTAATTTAATTGAATTATTTCGATTACTACAAAAAATAATTTTATGTTTTGTGTTATAGATGAAAATTTTGCAGTTGTATATTTTAAAAATGAAAATACATATTCGGAAGTGCCAAGCAGTTGGCTGACGCCTCCTTTAGACGATGATGAGGACGAATGTGACCTCCAAAGACACAAAATAAAATTAATATCTATATTAAAGAAAAATTTGAACCCGATAGCTCAACCTGGACAATATAAAATGTCAAAATTATGGGCTACTATGGTATGTTGTAGAATCGATAAATGGTTTAAATTGATATTTTTTTCGTTATAAATTGATTTCTTTATAGACGCTTATGAAAAAACTCGGAGAGTCGCACCTTAATCCGATTATACTTCTTCCGAAGAAGGTCTTGATCGTGGTTGTCGATCTTCTAAATCTACTGCTGCTGAGCGACAATACAATAAGAAGAACAGATTAGCACTAGTTATTGACTCCACAACTGATGAGGACACAGAATACGAACCTCCAAAAAAACAAAAAAGGGGATTTATTAAGCGTAAGTTCACTTTATAAAAATATTCTCTTACAAGATACTTAGTACTTAGTTATATCTCAGTTTTTCTATAAACTGCTTATAGAAGGAAAAAGGACAAAATGTAAAACGTCTTTAAAAGTATTGTACATAAATATTTAATTTCTTTTTCATTTYTTTGAAACACTAATGAAACGCTAGAAAATAAATTACACCAATTGTATAAAAAACAAATTATCATGTTATTTGCAGCAGCTACACCTATGCCGAAAATATGTGACGAAACTAAACCCAGCAACACTAACACACCCAATTTATGTAAGTAATTATTAAAAAACTTGTCCATGTAATTTTTTTTAACATAATACAGCAATGTCACTAATTTTTCAACATCGACATATTTGTAAATATATGTAATCTTATAAATAATTTTCATAGCTCTTTTATACTATAGTTAATATTGTTTTCGTTAAAGTTTACGTATTTACCTTTTCACATTAATCCAATTTTCGTTGTTATTAGCTACAGTTTTGTTGTTAATTTATGTATATTTCTACCTATTAACAGCAAATACAGTGCTCGAATATCATCCAGAAATTGGTAAGTTAAATTTGGTTCGTTCGTTTTCATATATATTTTAATATACAGCTATTACTTATTTTTTTTTTTTAAATTTCAGTCGAACTAGACGAAGTTGATAGCTGTGAAAATAATATTGATACGAACCATTCTTCAGCACAACTAGAAAGAGACTCAATTATTAACATTACAGCGCCGAATGGTAATCATCATGCTACGAACGAAAACATTCCATTTGATTTAAATAACTTACATTTTAATAAACTCGAAAATCTTTTTGACTTCAGTAATAAAAATATAACTGATATTTCATCAATATTAATAGATAAGACTTCAAATTTATTTATTATTGGTTCTTTTTTAACTTAAAATGACTATAAATTTAATATTTATTTGCAGTTAACTTTAAATATATATTAAAATTACTGAGTATAGCTCTCGTGGATCTAAAAGATTTAAAACAACGTTTTGATTAAGGTCATTTAGCAGACATTACCACGAATGTCGAGAACATTAAACAATATTTCCCTATTGAAACTAAACAAGAATTAGAATTTTTGGAGAAAATTTTGATCACCAAACAATTAGAAAATGAGTTCGTAAGTAGTAACTAGTAAATACTACTACTGATATTGATAATAATAATAATATTTCCTGAATTTACCAATTATAATTTTAATTACGAGGCAAGAGAGTGGTTCAGGCTGGGGGCTCAACGCTATAAGCGTAAGCTTCACAAGTCTCCTGTTGGTACACCTGTCAGATGAGATTAAAGAATGCTAGAATGCTAAGATTTATTTTTAAAAAAATTTATAATTTTTATTTATAATTGAAAAAAATTGTTCTATTTTGTTGATAAAATAGAAATTTTAATAAATATTGTAATAATATATATTAAATATAACAATGTTTTTTGAGTGCCCTTAATTTTAAATTATCCAGTACATTATATTTTCTAGATTGAAAAAAGTGCAACAAAAGTAAAAATTCAAGAATTGTGGGTTAGAAATATTTCCGCTAAAAATAACTATACCTTTGTTATAAAAAAAAAAAGTATAAATATTTTCAAGGAAAAAAATTTATATAATTAATTGGATCTATTTCTTAAATATAAATATTATATTACATCACATGACAGTGCTATGCAAATTTACGTAAAAATGATGTCACAGAAAGGTTACAAATATATAACCTCAACAACGATTTTCCATTTTTTTATATATGACGCAACTATGATATTCGAATTATATCACTGCTATATCACCAATGTAATATGTATGTGAAATTAACATCATATTTATGTTCATTATGTAACGACACATTGTAACGTAAATGAGTGTAAAATTGTGCGTCACATGTGAGTCACCTGTGACCCGTATGTTATTTTAAGGTTTACGTAACCTAAAATTTTGGTTCTGTAAAAGAGACGTCTCGGTTACATTGGTGCGTTCACTGGGTTAAGAGTCTCATAATACACTTATTATAGTTGATATTAAATAAAGGTTTCTGATTAATCAAAAAAAATAATTTTTACCTGCGTAAGCCAGAATTTTGATGATGTATGTTTGCCAATTTATTTTTGCATCACGATATTCACGAGCATATTTTTCCAGCATAGCATAATCATTGGGTGGTGGACATTGGCATGAGAATCCATCACTTTCTTCCGTAATCCACTAGCTTGGTATCAGATCAATATCTTTCTTATCATTTGAATCATTAACTGCGAACTCAACTACTGCATACATATTTTTTTCACTAAAGTTTGTCATCTATAAGTAAATATATTAAATCAAACATTTAATATTATTTAAATCACTTTAGCTTTACCAATTATAAATATTGCTCATTTATTAGCTCAGTCACTATTTAAGATGATAATGAAATTAGCAAATATCTAAAAATTTTAATTTTCTTTTCATTAATTAAATAATAGTTAGCACAAATAATTTTCTTTTTAATTGCACTCATAGTTTTTAAAATTTTTTAAATATGAAGTTTTTTTATGATTAAAAAAAATTTTTTGATTAAAAAAAAACTCTTATAAAATCAATTAATAATTAATTTAATACATTAATTATACACTTACCTCATAAAGAGTATAGCCGGATAAGTATGGGAAATCTGCCCCCGTGGCTTTTTTGACTCGCACTTGGGGGATCGATTTGGTGTCGAATAAATATAATTCACCCTAAATTTTAGCTCTTTTACTCAAACGGTTCTCGAGATTTTTAAAAGAACCTGTTTTTTTGATTTTATTTTTTTTTTATAGTAAAATTCAAAACTAATCAATGATGATTTTTTTTCTAGTTCTTAGGAGTCTAAGACATGAAAAAAAATATTATCATAATATTTTAACGAAAAGCCGATCTTTGGCGGACGAAAGAAAATTAAATTTTTATTTTTTAGCTTTTTTGAAATATGTCAGTCAACAAAATTTTTCAGAAAATGTTTTTTATACTCCTCTACACTCAGGAATTTTCTTGAATTTTTTGAAGTGGTGGAACAATATGAAAAAAATTAAAAACTCATTTTTTTCTAAAATCCCAAGTTTTAACTAATTTATATTTTTTTTTCAGTTAAAAAAAAATGTAAAAAATTATATTTTTATTCAAAATACACTTTGCCAGAAATAAACATAAAGATTATTATAAAACAATTAAGATATATTCAGTCTAACGTAATTAGAAGGGTTATTGATTATTGAAAATACATTTAAAAATAGTACTTATATATTCTTTATACGGTTAGATATTATTCTAAATCTTATGCAACAAAAATAAAAATTATAATAAATGATGTAACTATATTAGTCTTCATCACTGTCTTCATTCACTACGACACTAATTTTTTCATCGATGAACAGGCGACTCAGGATCTCAGCAGGTCTTACAATTTTAGCCAAATATCGAGCGTAAGATAAATAATATATGATAGCAGCAATATGAGAGCAACATCCAACAGTGCGTCTACCATTCGCACAATCACAACAATATCGAGTTATTCCGGAAATATCGTTCTTATCTGGCTGATATTCAATAAAACTACGATATGTCTTCGAATTAATATGTCGAGATCTGACTTCAAACTTTATAATATTAGGTGTAATTTTWAAAAAATGGAATGTGAWTATTCCGTTTTCATCCATCATCTCAGCTAAATACGATACAGCTTGAGACATTTGATATGATCCAGTGAAAAGAATTTTGAGTTCTTGCTCTGATAATTCTGGAAAGTCAGTTAATTGCTCTGAAGTTATTATTGCAAAAGGAACTTTTCTTCTGGCYTAACGATTAGTTTCTATCTCCAAAGSTAAAGTATYCTCTWRATCTTTTTTTGAATTCATGGCAGCAATTATTTTTTCTGCAAGATCAAGATCAGAATCAAGTCTTGTTCCAAATTCATTGTGCAAAAAACAAGCGATTCGACAAAAAACAYTWGTTTTTGGAAGCAATTTGKTATCYAGTTTATGATCTAATAGCTTAAACTTCTGTTTAATATTGCCATGTACTGCTTCAACAACCCAACGAATTTTGGTAACGAAACGGGATTTATTCGATTCATCTGTGGTCAACTGATTGCGTTTTCCTTTGAGAGCCGGCATTAGCACTTTGAACCCTAATTCTTCTAGGTATACAATCACATCACGAAAGCCACAATCAACCACAATAATGTCATCTTTTTTCAGCAATTTAATCAGACCATTAGGGTCATTTAAGATCACTCTCATAATTTCAGCATCGTTCATATTAGCTGTATATGGCCCAAGCATATCTATAACGAAACCATTCGTAGTGCATATCGTGAATGGTTTACACAAAGGAACCTTTTTTTGACCAGAATATGATTTCCTCTGGTATTCGTTATTTGTACTTTTTTCATGACGAATATATGTTCCATCACAAATGAATATCAACTGGTCATCTTCTACTTGATACAATTTTTTAGCAGTGTTTGACGTATTAGTGAGTAATGTCTCCCTACTGATAGCATCAATTCCAAWATGCTGAGGTAAAACATCTTTTTCAAACGAAGATATAACTTCATCACAGTAGTCAGATACAATTTGTTCACGAACTAAACCAAAAACGGAAGATATTAATGCATTCGAATTTCCGGTTTGTAATTTGAATAAAAAAATAACAAGAGCTTGAACGATATTACCATTCACTGAGTTTCTCATCGATGTTAACTTTTCACGAAGTTTTATCAATTTTTCCCAGGTAAGACTAGTAAATGCCTCTAACTGTTTTTCTGAAAACGAGTGATCTCCAATTTTATCAATTATGGACGAGTCAGTACCAATAGCGAGCTGCCCCAGTAATTTTTCCAAATCACGAACTTCAAATACACTGGTGTTCGAATAAATTCGAAAATTGTTAATGTCTTCATCGTAGAACCGCTTTTTTATAAGATGGTCTTTACAACACCGATTTCCTTCAGGAATAAGGAGTTGTCTTTTGAAAAACACTTGTTTGCGTGCTTCAAATGGAACAGATTTGATATTTGATGATGATCCACAAATGCAACAGTATTTGTGAGTAGCAACAATTCAAGGAAAACCCAACTCCACAAATTCTAATTCTTCTTCCATTTTTTCTTCAATAACATATGAAGGATTTTCAGTTGACGATACAGATGAAATAGTAGTGGATGAGGATTGAGATGAAATTGGCTGACTTTCGATACTTACTTGATCTGGAGATGAATCCTCAGTGTTCTCAAGTATAGGTGGTCTTGTTAAAATAACTCGACACTTACCACAAAAGGTATCATTAATAAAGACTCTCTTTCCAATTTTTTCTGTCGCAATATTAGCCTCATCAATTGTCATAATAACTTTTTCATATCCAACTGTTTTTTGCAAATATTTGTTACAAATAATGCATTTTTTATCAAAATCCATTCTGAAATAAAGATTTAAATTATGTATTGTGAGGTTTTCAGACAGAGAAAGAAATATAAAACTGAAGATAACTGACTAAGGACTGCCTAAGGACA